AAAAAAAAAAAAAAAAAATCCCATTTCCTCTTTAAGTAACAACCGATCTCCTGAGCCTATTAACAAATAAGTAAAAGCCCATACACGATGAGCCCGGCTCAGTAATAACTTATTTTAAGAAAGGCCCAGTAATAACTTAGTCTTATTGAAAAATAGAGGCCCAGTAGTAAATTAAAATAAAATATATGATCAGCAAATTAATTTGGCATTGGTCACGGTTCAAATCCAATACCCTCGAATCTCTCTGACTTGTAATCTCAGGATTTTCTTTTGTTTTTTTCTTTTTCAAATTCAATTTTTGAACTCGAAGGTATCTAAATAGAATATATAGATTTAAAAAACAATTAAAACACTTTCTTACACTAATAACAGTTATAATTTTTTTTAAAAAAATTTTGTCACTTAAATTGCAGCTTATAATCAATCACTTAAGCAAACACCCGTGGTTAGGTTTCCCAAAACACAAAAATAAATAAATGAATAAAATTTGGACATTTCTTACTAATTCGTGTGATAAAAGTCTATGGCTAAGAATGCATGAGGGAGGGAGGAAGCATAAGAAAAAGACAAAGGAAAAAGGCAAGAAGGTGAACGGAAGAATAACACGCAACAGAACAAAAAAAGGAGATCCTTGCCACTGGGGTCAGTCAAACTTGGGTACCAAGGGTTATGATACGTCAGTCTTAGTTAATATTCCTTTGTTTAGACAAATTTAAGAAAAAAGGGAAGTTATTCTAGTTTAAATTAAATTAAGATATTTTATTTGTTTTAGTGAATATTAGTTGTAAAAACATATAAATTTGCTTATTAACAATAGATTACTAGTAATAAAATTCAAAATTCAAATTCTTAATCATGAATAATTGAGAAAGAGTTTGAACTCATGATTAAAAAATAAATAAATATTAAAGAGTTTGAACTTACCTACAATTAGTTACAGTAATTTGATATTTATAATTAAGATATCCCTAATGTAATAAAAGAAATTAATTTTTTTAAAAGATAATAATATAGAGATAATTTTTTTATATTATTTTTTATACAACTTTTACATATTGTTAAAAAGTAGATATATTTAATATCATAGATCTCAAATGAATAAAAAGAATTAATTATTTAAATAATACTTAAAATTTTATAAAAAAATTATTCTTAAATCATTTTTTTAAAATATTAATCTTAAGATTTAAATTTTAAATTTAACATATAAAACTAAATTTATTTAGCAGTGAATCTAATACTTGAAGTTGAAGATATGATATTGCAAGAGCAATATAAATCCTTAGCGAAGGGGAATTTCATTACATCACTATTGCGTGGAAAAAAAAAACAATACGCGGTTAAGTGGGAGCCACACTTAATTACAAAATTCTTTCCCCAACTTCATCCAGAAGCAGAAGCAGTTATGATGCACCGGTCTATTATATACATTTAAGGAAGCTACTTCTTCTTGACCATCTGCGATTTTTCATTGAAATCTCAAGGAAATGAGCAACCTCAGCAGCAGCAGCGTAAGCAACAGGAGCAATCCAGTGGGATTCCGATTCCACCCGAGCGATGAAGAACTCATCAGTTTCTACCTAACAAACATGGTGCTCGGCCGTGATTCTGTGGTCCAAGACATCGCCAACGTCGGTGACATCTGCGAGTATGAGCCCTGGGAGTTACCCAGTAAGTGAACATTGTTAATTTTTCTCAACAATTTTTTTTTTTCTTAAATTGACCTATTAATAATAAATGTATTACAGGATTATCGGCTCTGGAGTCAGATGATGAAGTGTGGTACTTCTTTTGTAAACCAAACCACAAATACAAAAACAGCACACGTTCCAACAGGACCACTAACAAGGGATACTGGAAAGCAACGGGGAAACAACGCAAGATAAAGGCTGAAAATAGCACCAGAGACGTAATAGGTAAGAAGAAGACTTTGGTCTTCTATCTAGGATCTATTCGTAATGGTGACGGGAAACGAACCTCCTGGGTCATGCATGAGTACGAGCTCACTTCCAATATTCCTAACCAAGTAAGTACTTGTGCGAGTTTAAATAAAAATTCAAAGGTATTCCATTATATTCATGTTCAAAGTTAATTTAATGTGTATTTTTTCTTAATTATTATTTTTTTTTCTTATTTGATTTTGTAGACGTCGTTTGTTCTCTGTAAATTGAAGAAAAAAGATGATGCACCGGGTGATGAATACCTGCCAAGTTACCACCCAACTCCTGTTGCAGTGGAAGATGAAAATGAAATTCCAAGGGTAAGACCCTGCCTTCTAAAGTAAACGCTTCTTCATATTGTTTGTAAAGAGAATCTTGTTTTGTATATTAAATTGAAAAACAAAAATTAAATAAGAGACAATTTTTAATATCAAGGGTTTTTATTTTTTTTTTAATAATTTAAATTATACCGTGTGAACACTTTTTTGATTTCTAAATTCATCTTCATATTAGATTTTTTTTTTTTAATTGCATTTCTTTAATTCTGAAATTACATTTACACAATATCACTCGGCAATCAATCTGGAAATAGAATTAAATGTCTTAGTTTTTGTATGAAATAGGGCACGTTTGACATATATGAGGCTGGAGCAGGGCAGAATGTACGTACAGCCGACGAGGATGTGTACGGGTATATGAACTCGCTCCCTCCACTGCAGTCACAGATGTATTACCAGGAGCAGCAGGCTTCCTCTTCATGGAATTACACGTATGGCTTGAGCAGCGGCTATGATGCAACTCAAAATCATTACCCTCCTAGCATCAATGGATGGGAGGATGAGTTTTGCAGTTCTTTTTTTGCGGGTTACCCTGAAGCATACCCTGGAGAAGGAAGCAATCACCATAATTGATTTATCCTTGACCTGCATTATGGTAATGTATGAACAATTACACTATAAGTATTCTTAAGGGAAGACTGGATCAGTCAGTAATAACGTGTGTATTGAAGTCAACCATTTATATTTTGCATGTTTACATATGGGTAATGATGTACAGACTGAAGTTTTTAAATTTGAGTATTGTAGTATGTATAGATTATTGTTGTTTAATATTTTAATTTTATATTAGTTTGTTAATTATATGTAACATAGTTTGAATTGTATTGTAATTTATGAAATGTTAATTGATTGTGATTATCATAATCATTAAAGTGAACTATACTGAAAGTTGTACTAACTAAAATAAAAATTGTAAGAAGTAGTGATTTTAGAGTAGAAGCAAAATTAACACATTTAAGGGTGGTGGGAAACGAGGGTACAACTAGGAACTTCAAAATTAGGGGGGAAATAATGGGGTGAGAGTGGCTCGAACACTCGAGCTCAGGGTAACTCAACAAGCTATGAGTATACACTGCTAGCCAACTGCGCCACCGCCCCTTGGTGCGTGGTACTGCACAAAAACTAATATAATTGACTGCTTATTTTGGTTTTGTTGCGTTTCTCGTTTTCTTAGTGCCTCATTTTACTTTAGTTTCTTCAATTCATCTCTTTCTACGGGTTTCTTAGTTTGAACAATATTACGTGATGTCTGTGGGTTATCTTTCAGGCATTAGTTTGTATGTA